GCTAAAAATAATACCACAACCCGTCAGGACACCAACAGGAGATCTGACTAAAACCAGCACTAGACATGGAAGATCAAGAGAAACTTCGTTCAACGCCCCATCCAGACACGCCCGCTCCGAGTGTGAAACAAAAATAAAACAAAACACAACCCGCACTATCAACTCACTAAATCGTGCTTGCCTCCACGAGCACCCTCTCAACCTCGGCAAAACTGCCCTCCTTTGCTGCCCGCAGTGCGCTCCCATAATGTCCGGCAACAATGTTGATATCCGCTCCAGCCTCTAGTAACATTTTCACAACCTGCAACTCTCCTTTCGCCGCAGCTGCTTGTAGTGCAGTCCCAAAGAAGCCCCCAATGGAATTTACCTCGGCACCGCGCTCCAGCAGCATCTCCACCATGTAGGCATCCCCACCACGGGCCGCAACAGAGAGTGCGTTCCCGAACGCCCCGCATTGGGCGTGAATATCTGCTCCCCACGAGGGCAATAGCTCGGCGATTGCGTTCTTGTGCATTGCGACTGCCAGAACAAGCGCATTGCCGTATCTCGTTGGTGCTTCGCTCAAGTCGGCGCCAGCGTCTAGGAGGATTTCGACCATCCTTTCAGCACCGCCTGCGACAGCAGCATTCAGGATTGTCCCGTACTCCCCTACTAGCGCATTCACTTTTGCACCGTGAGAAATTAGTATCTGTGCTATGTCTGTGAAGTTTAACTTTACGGCAATATGCAGTGCGCTTCCGAATTTTACTGCTGAGCCGAGATTCCCCGTGGCGTTTACGTCTGCCCCTTTTGCGAGGAGAAAAGTGACAAGCAATGGGTGGTTATAGTATACTGCTATCCACAGAGCACGAACATAAGCTTCTGGGTGTGACACTGGGGTGATTTTACGGAGGAGGAGCTTCACGCCATGGAGGATGCCGAAGCGGACGCAGGTATCAAGTGGTGAGATGGGCTTTGCAAGTGTTGGTGCATGCTGGTGAAAGAAGAGGACCCGGTGCCATTCTGGGCTGTGGTACGTTGGTCTAGAGATGCCGTATTTGCGGGCTTTTCGAGGGTGAGTTAGTGCTGAACAGATGCGACGATACAGCGCGGCATCGTAGTCGACGTTCTGCTGCGCGTGGAGGGTCCAGCTGCTTTTCGCATATTGGAGCAAGGAGTAGGGTTCCAGCGCTTTGGAGAGGGAGGGCGAGGCTCCTGGCAGTGGTGGCCATTCCGTAGAGGAGTCAAAGTCCACCATGGTCGCGACCATATGAATATCCTCTAGCATGGAGTATCTGAGACAGGTACTCGCCAGGATACCGTGCGAGAGGTGGTAGTCTGAGAAGGTAAATTCTGAGAGACTTCCGAGATCTTCACGCTCTTTCTTGGAGTAGCAGTTAGTTAGGAAGTCTTTGGCAGAGGAGTGAGCAATGTGGATTGTCCAGGCTTCCGGGGCGGTCCCCTGACGGCGGACCTCCACGAGACCGGCGCACAGACCGAGGATTTGGCTGTTGATGTAGCCTTCGTCTATGCAGGGTGGAAGGCGATCTTTGGGAAATGTAGCATCACCGTCATTCAAGATGAGTGCTTCCGTGAGCTCCTTGACGCTCAGAGGTCGTTCGGCGAACAGTGTCCATCGGAGAATTTCCTTTGCCCTGTCTCGCTCTTCCTTGCCTAATTCAACGACCTTTCCCAAGAGCTTCTTGTAAAGTTGTGGTAGGTCAGTCGGCAGAGACGATAAAGTCTCTTTGAGTTGATCTTCAGACATCCAGGGTTTGAGAAGATCCCCCGCTCGCCGCACCCACAGCATCGACCCACCGCTCCTGAGGGAAATACCCTCGATCAGTTCTCTCTTCAGCTCGGGCGTTTCCTCACCGAACTTCCTCTCCACGATTTCCTTCGCTAAAATCTTTGAATCCTCCGCAAAATCCTCAGGAACAGCTGGGATCTCAAAAACCGAGTGAGAGTCGAGTGATCTGTCATGCTCACTCTGGAAGGCACTCCTGATATCACTTACGTCTCGACTAAGGATGCAAAGCCGCACCCCAGTAGTGTGAACCATATCAAACAATCGCTTTAGAAACACTCCACGAACGCCAGCCGTCCTGGACCGTGCTGCCTCGTCATAATCCAAGCACTCATCCAACCCGTCAAGTACGAGATAAGATTTCCCGACACCGTGCAGGGCAGTGCTGAGGATCCGCCACAGATCATCTTCTCTGGCAACTTTGTCTTCGGAGAGTCCTTGGGCGTCCTTTCCTCCTTCCTCGCCGGGGGTAGGTAACTGATCTATCCACGATCGCAATATGTTTGTCGTGACTCTCCGAATCGAATCCTCATGCGAAGAGAAAAAGTACGCAACAGGTGCCTCGCCACTCGAAAATAACTCCTGCACAATTCTAGCTGCAAGAATAGTCTTCCCGAGCCCATCTGGTGCGTTAATCCACAGGATCGCTGACCCCTCCGAAGGTACAGATATCCAGTTTGTATACCCGGGCGTCGCAAATATCCACTCTGCGCTCCCAGGGGTTCTCGTTTCCAACGCACGGATATAATCTGAGGCGGTAGATACGAATGTAGGGTTCTTCTTGGCGTCTTCTCCTGTGCTCGTCGACTCTATCTCATGTCAGTCCGCGTTCTCAAGACGGGAGGTCGTATGTATAATTGGCGGACAAACTGTTGGAAACCCTCAACCCTCTCAGCATATAACTGAGTTCCTCATCGTCGAAACCCTTCTGTACGAGCTCTTCTAGTTTCTCAGTCGCGATCCTCAAGCCGCTAACTACCGAATCAATTTCACTGTCGGCCAATGACATCTCTGTACTCCGTAGGATGGCAATCGCCTGCCGGGTATACGCCTGGGGGATTGTCGATATTCTCTGATCCCACCGAAAGAAGTTTTCTCGGGCTTCTTGGACGCTCTCAATGTCTTGCGGCGCGGGATTGCTATTGATTGCAGAAACACACGCATCGTAGGCGGTTCGTAGGTCAATCTCCACTTCTATCACCATCGCTACTGATTGTTGCTGCTGTACTCGTAGTAGTGTTGCTTCAGCGGTGGCTGTTGTACGGGGCGATTGGAAGAGGGTGCAGTCCGAAATGGGAGTGGAAAGCGCAGAAGACTATCCTTCCAAGGATATATACACTCTCTGGACCTATATCACTTTTACACACTCAGAAGAAACCGGGCCGTTTCGTTATTATTGCGGTTTAGGGAATTTTGGAGCCAGACTGATGGTACCCCCCCTCTCTCCTGCCCCCCCAAACTGAACACTGTATCATAATATCACAGTATCACAAGTGGCCGGTCCAGCTCTGGTATCATACTTCTGATCATAAATGCCTGATGGTGAGCTAAGAGTATATCGCGCAAGCGACCGGCCACCATATCCACATGACATGACACTACAAACTTCAATGACATTAGCTACAAAAAAAAAGCATGAATAGTTGGCCCTAGAGCTTGCGATCTTATCGTCGAGCCCCGCACACTGAGGTATGATTGTGGCGGGGTTTTTTCTTGTCGTTTCTGTTGGGTTGCGTATGGAGCAGTCACAGAAGGGCCAAGGATGAATGGCTGCAACTTACAACTGGTGAATAAGTATTGGAGCGAGGGATATGGAGTGGGGGATCTTAATCGGAATGTAATGTACCGCGGGATCGATTTGGTGAGTGGCCGGGTACTGGATGATGGGGTAAGTCGCAGTGGGTGGGTAGTGGGTGGTCCTTTAGTCACCATATTACTGGCAGTCCCTTGGGGGGAAGACCCGGGAAGGGGCGTTTCTCTATCGCCTCATGATCAGTTTTGGGGCGTTTCGGGACACACCAACAGACAGATGGAAGAGCGTTCGATGATGTACCGTACAGTACATGTTCAAGTACATTCCAGCACCGGCTCCTGTGTTTGAGAATGGTTCTGGATAACTGGAAGCGTCGGAGATTTGAAAAAAGATGTTCATATCCTTGGTGATGATCTCCCTGAACACATGGGGGGACAACCCCTCCGGGACTAATTCTCGGCAGAAAAGCACGAGTACCGATACTCGTTTGTACTCGAGTACTGACACTGCACCAATGCCGCCGGATTGAAGTCGCATTGCTTTTGGTGCGCCACCGCCGAAAGCAAGGCGACTTCAATCCGGCAACGTGAGTGCATTTCTCAAAGTTATTAATACTTGAGTATAGTGCATAGTACTTGTACCGAATATTCCTGCAATAACGATCTCTCTAGTGTACTAGGGTATGCTCACCCTTCGATAGTATAAGTACTGCACGCAATCACTCGAGCACGATATCTGCCTATCTACCTGCCCAATCTATCCACCCACATACTCGAGTACCTACTTTATAGCACTTGTACGAGTACCGTACTATGCGGTACTTCACAGACACCCCCGGCACAATCAACCACTCACCGGACTTCTGGCCCAACCACTCACTCTTCCACTCACCCAACCAATCACTCATCGGTCAAAAAAGAGAGGCATTCAGCCCCTGGGGAGGGGAGTGTTTTTCGGATGCCACGTTTGGGATGGATCTGCCAGATTTGTATGCGAAAGGGGCGTCACGCTGCCAAGCTCTTCGGCTTGCATAGACTAATCCTTTCTCGACCTCCCCTCCCATGCCTGGCCATCGTGCTCGGTTGTGAGCGGGTTGTGAACTTGTGATATGGGTTCCGGTCGCAAGGAAAAACCTAGCCATGGCAGGGAAAGATAATCGCCTGTCTCCGATGTTGTGTGATATCATGCTTGTCCTCCTGGGGTTCGCTAACCTGAGGTTGTAAAGTATCTATGGGTGGACAGTTACATTGCCCGTTGGATCCTTAGTATGGCGAATCCCCAAGGACCGTAGCCTACCAGTGGTTCAACGTGCGGTACCACTCCTACACTTTTGTTCCCCCTTATCCGAGTCTAATGATACCACTAGCGAGGGCAGCTCTGTCGAGGTTAAGGTCGTAGGAATGTTGACTACGGTGCTCGAGTATTTGGACTGGACGTGCCTCGAGTGATGGTCGTTCACCAATGGGCGGTATTGCACTGTTTGCAAAAAAAAAAAGACAAGAGAAACAATTGGCCAAGGCGTGCATCCCCCGAAGGAGACATACTAGCACCAATTTGTCTAAATTATCCTCGGGAGGGAGGAGTGGGTTCTTACTATTGTTGTATTATTTTGGAGATATGAAGTTGAAGTTTATCATATACGGGTAAATTACTTGATCTTACTATCCTCACTGCACGAGTACTGTACTAGTACTGTACTCAGCCTAGCATATCCGAAAATGATGGTAAAAAATAACATTACCATGGTACAAGTATAGCTCCAAGTGCATCAGTTACGATACTTTTCTATCATATCATATATGTAGGGATATTTTTGGTATCATTCTCTGACCTTATAGGTGTTGTTATTTCTGTATGATACTAGTAGTGTTTTATCATGTTAAAATTGAAATTTAATCTAGTAAAAGACTGCTTAACTTTTGGAGAGGGATATACGGGTTTTCTAACTGTCTAGGTGGTTTGTCCTGGGGCTATCATAGTACTGTAGCTTAATTTGTATTATAGTTGAATTTTCATTCAAGCTAGAGCAACTTTTATGATGATGTGACTAATTTATTTGTCGTGTAATCAATGGTAACATGAACCTACTCGTCTTGTAGAATTAGACTAGTGCTGAGCATTGCATTTAGACATCATATGTAAACTAGTACAGTAGAGTACATGTTTAGCATAACCCCCTGCGGTCTGGTGGGGCAGAACTGGTAGTTGGTTTTTCTGACTGCGAACTGATTGAAAAATATATCAATTATTTAAAAACTTTAACCAGATATACTGTATAAATCCTTACTTTTGGCTTTAATTTCTGATACTCCATTCCCCCAAACGATACGGGTTAGATCACAACTTAACTAATAATTGCTCTACACGGGAACCTTGAAACAGAAAAGCAGAAACTGGTTTATTGCAGTCGCCATGGACCGGGCGGACGGAAACTTATCAGACAAAATTGTACTGTGCAATACCCTTTCTATAATAATCTACACCATCTGGTATTCATGTACTCGAGTAGGGTCAAAGTCTGGCGATCATTTACGAAAAACAAGGCAAACATCCTATATACCAGCCGATGAGTACAGAATTAGAGGTGAGCAACGATAAAACAAGCACGCTCCATTCACGACCGCAAGTAAATTAACCTACAAGTGATAAGGCGAACAAACTAACAGCGTTACCCAGACCCAAGATACCAAAGTATCGATGATAGTAAAAGAAATAAGCCATAACAGGTCATGACATGTCATGCACATCGTGAGATGGAATCGATACCGGACTTTGTGAACGAAGACGCATAGACAAAAGGAGGAGAAAGGAAGACGAGGATAAAAATAATAATAAAAGGGCAAATAAGTGACAAGGAGAGAACGGTGAGGCAAGGTAATACCGCATATGATACTTGTGGAGGAAGGAACAAAAACAAGAATAAAATCCACTTTTGTTTGTACGCACAATTGAACCCTTAATGTCACAGACAAGAAATCCGGCAGAGGAACGACAAGAACCAACTCGACTCAACATAACCAAGGCCCGGTCTCCACCACGCCCTCCCTGGAATCCCGGATACTCCTCTTCTTCTGTCGGTCCTTAATCTTGCGCTCTTCGTGCTTGAGCTGGACGAGGCGCTCGCTGACAAGACGGCCCTGTAACTGGGATTCATCCGCGAAAATAGATCGCCAGTTAGCGTGCCGCTCGCACTTTTTCCGCACGCACACGTCGCGGCCGTCGATGCGGTGGTTGTCGAAGACTGCATTGCCCTCGGCACTGGCGCGCCAGATTTCCCACTCGCCCTCGTCGAGCGCAAGACGCTCATCGAAGCCGCAGATCTCCTTGCCCGTGTGCTTGACATCCGGGTCCGCCTTCATTTCCTCGTGCACGCGCTTCGCCCGGTCTTTGGCCCAGTCGATGTACAGGGCGCGGTCTTCGTTCGCCTCCGCGCGGTTCTTGAGGGCTACTTTCTCCTGGGCAATTTTTTCCAGGCGTTCGATTTCCTCGGGGTAGTCTTTCCAGTTCTCGTCCGAGAGAGGTGGCGTTGGCATGCGGTCACCCAGGCGGCGGAAACTAGCTGCGCTAGTGACGGCGGAGGTCAGTGCCTTGATCTCCGAGCTGGTGTACCGGGTTCGGTCCGGGTCGAGTTGGAGGTCGAAGAACTCGACGCCGTGGGCATCGTTGCAGTACTTTGAGGGGGGGCGCTTGGATACGTCTGCTGGTCGGCGGCAGGTTGTTAGGCGGCATTTGCGCTTCCAGGTTGTGCGGCCGTAGCCTTTGTGGGTGCACCTTGGGCCTGGAAGTCGTTAGTTAGTCATGAGTAGAAGTAGCAGCAGCAGCAGTGGTTGGTGGAGAGGGGCCTTGCAGTAGTATTTATCAATTAGCTCGCCATCCTGTTCTGCAACCTTCACACATTCACCATGGTACCAGTCGTCACATTCACCGTCGCAAGCAATCATCCACTTTCCAGAATCAGGCTCACGGCAGATGCAGTAGAGCTCTAAGCCAGCAGAATTGTATCTCTCCAAAGGCGAAGGAGGAATAGACGGAGAAGGAGGGCATGGAGGGGTAGTATCCCTCTTGACAGACGTAGCCCGAGTAACTGGATCTTGGTCATCCGTCTCCGTATTATATCCAGAGGGAGCCTCGCTCTCCCTCTTTTTCCCGACCTTTTTCGCAATCTGTCTCTTCTTTGGGGTAGTTTCGTCTTCAAGATCATCGTCTCCATCGGTTACTGCTTTTCTCTTTTTTTTCTGTAGCTTCGCAACGCCCTTCTTTCTGGGAGCGGGCGCTTTAGCCACTTTGTTCTTCTTAGATTTCGGTGGCATGGTCGTCGTGGTCGCAATTGGAGTCCCTGCTGCGGGTGTGTTGACGGTTGTTGTATCAGCAGGCGTGGGAGCAGACGTCGACGGGGGAGAGGCAGAGGTAGCTGGTGGTGAAGACCGCAGAATTTCCATGTTTGCCGAGGAGGCTCTCTCCGATTCTGCTCTCACGCCGCCACGACTGACACCAACACCACCTTCCATACCCATCTCGTAGTCCTCATCCCGTTCCCCAATCGCATCTCTGTCATTCGGGCTACTGTGGCCGTAGCCATTTGTCGTAGTAGTCGCCGTCACGTTTCGCAGCGGGGACCCCGCAGGTATCCTTCTAGGAGACGCTGGAGGAACCGGAGACGACGATTCTACAGTATCCGTATCTGAGGATTCATGGGGCGCTGCTTCTGCATTTGACTGGGGACTGAGTTGCCTGTGCTCACGAATGTTCGCAAAGTACGTTAAGGTATTCGCTGCTTCCTGGGTGTTCGTCTGTGGGAGCTGCCTTGGGAGAGGAGGAGTTGCGTTGCGGGCATAGACGGGCGAGGACGGACCAGAAGATGCCGGATTCAGCAAATCCTGGAGAGAAGACATGGCGGAAGCTCGCTCGCTCACTCGCCCACTCACTCACTCACTCAAGTTCTGTGTGAGAAAAGAAAAAAAAAAGCGTGGAGGATGGAGGAGGCGATGGAGAGTGAAGGAAACGGGGTGGTCAGACCTACGAGATTCGAGAGATGGGAGGAAACAAGTCCAGTCAGCAGAAAGCTGTACTCGTAGGTTAAGCATGTAAGTTAAAGCGAGGATGACACCCAGTAATTTTAGCGCAGGATCCACAAAGCGAGGATGAAGCCACATCCTCCGACTGGCAAGATGCAGATTGAGGCCACAGGGTGGCGCTCGTTCTTGGCAGACCTCGCCCATCATTGCTATGATAATATTATTATACTCGAGTACTCGAGTATGGGCGTTAGTGACGAGACGGACAGGGCTTTTTGAGTCCAGGCGCTCATACCGTTAGAGGATAGAAAAAAAATTAAAAGATATATTTCTCGAAAAAAAGTCGTGCCTATCCTGATATCTTGGGTAGGAGTTGGTGAGGTGTTACGAGGACTTTGCGGATGCGAGTGTACCATTACAAGCATGGCTACGGTACCGATATTGTAGCACAGGCAAACTACTAGTAAGGATACATCAATTGAAACGGCCTTCGTGATGGTAACGATATCCATGAACTGTTAATTTCACACTTCAACTTCAAAACGATGCAAACAGAAACCCCATTTGTTGAAACTACTGATGAGAAAGAAACATATAAATACACCAAAAGAAAAGAAAACTCAAAGAAATGTGACGCCCGTGACAAGAGTGAATAAGTATTGATTTAATGTATTAATTTTTAAGCCTTACTCTTTTTCTCCTTCTTCTCCCTTTTCTCCTTCTTGGACTTCTTTCTCTCCGATACATCCTGATCTTCCTCCTCGTCCCGCCGTCTCTTCTTACTTTCTATATCCTTTTTATCCTTTTTATCCTTTTTATCCCTTTTACCCTTCTTACCCTTCTTATCCTTCTGCTCCTTCTGCTCCTTCCCCTGCCTTTTGTCGGACTTTTCTTCTCTATTCTCCTTGGATTTCTCCTTCTTCTTGTCCTTGGACTTCTTGGGTTTGACAATGTCTGCCATTTCTAGGTCGACCTGCCCGTCATCTTCGTCGGCGTCAACTGCGATGTCTGCGAGAACGGCGTCCATGGCATCTTTCTGCTATAAGTTAGTAAAATACCAATGGAACCAAAAACAAAATAAACATACCATCGCATCCTGGTTCTTTTGAGGTGCAGTTCCATTCGCGTAAAAGTCCAGTCTCTCCTCCACCTGTTTCCTCAAGGCCTCGCCAAACTTGGTAGTAGGCGAATCAGAGAAGGAGTCGATTCTGCTAGCAATAGAGCACTTGTTTGCCAAGAATCTGGAAATCCTTCCCTTGTTCTTGGCTCCGGCCCTGCCGATGAAGGAGGAGTGGTAGATGAGACCGTATTTGGGGGTGTTTCCCTTAGTCTTGAGTGCTCTGAACAGTGCCTTCTCAGCGCCCAAAATTTGCACAGTGGAGGCGGGATATTTAGAAAGATTGGTTAAACTTCCAGCGTGCGAGATAAGCCTGGCACCAACGATCTCGCCAATGAGCTGAGCAAGGTTAGGGGCAACAACGCTCATCTTGTCAACAAGGTATCCGTGAAGAGTCTTGCGGTAGTCGGCGAGGGAAACGACCTTCTCGGCGAAGTTGCAAATGTTATCTATATCCATGTCCGAGATATCCTGACCCATAGAAACTTTAGCAGCATCGATAATAGACTGAGCGATCTCAGCATCGTCGTTGGTAATAGCGACAAGTTCGTGAAGGCGGTCGTTGGAGAGTGTTTTCTTGTCACGTATGAAGAGAATCAAGCGGGCGTAAAGGTAGTTTTCGTTAACAATTTTGACAAGTTCCGGGAAATGCCACGAGTACCATTCCCTACTCCCCATCAGCACACAACCGAGCCAACTCCCCCGGACTGAAACCTACCTGACACGCATAGCGAAAGTATTAATATCCTTATCCAAGGTATCCAACAGCGCAATCGACTGAATGATATGATTATCATTCTTCTGAACCGAGAACTTAACCTTCGCTCTCGAGTAAGCGTGACCAAGACCCAACTGTGCACGATCCATATCCCCATCCTGCAACTGCTTCAGCAACTTCGGGCCCCACAACCTCAGCCCACGCAGTAGGTCTTGCACAACTTCATTCGTCTCGCAATCGACGCCAGGGAAAGTGGCCTTGATGGAGCCGGCAAGGTTCTTATCGGAGATACCGAGAACGGCCTTCTTCTTCTTCCTGCCCTTGGGAAGGTTGAGTTCCAGCAGCGCCTTCAAATGATCGTTTGCAATACCCTCGGAAATATCGTTCGCATTTTCAAGGGCTTGAGCCGCGCCTCTAGAGACCACCAGCGAAAAACAAAAGCCTATTAGCAAAAACCATGGAAGAGAAAAGACGAGAATGAGGTAAAACTGAACTGGAAAGGCGCAAAAGAAACTAGCTTGATCATTTTTCCGAATCTTGAGAGGTCCTGGGTGGCTTCTTGAACTTCCTTGAGACGGTTGCCGATTGTGTCTGGCTGCTGAACGACCTGGTAAAGGCCGTAGCCTACTGAGGTCTCCTGGAGGAGGTAATCGACCGCCGCCATTGTTTCCTTGTTCGCTGAGATGGAGCAATTGGCGAGGTCCTTTTTGTTGGTGAGTGGCTGGTTGGTTGGTTGGCCGATGAAGTTGTTGCTGTCCAAGTCTCGAAATTTTCGCGGACAGAGCCTAACCGTGATAGGGAGTGTGATGATGGGACTAGGGTTTGGGGTTCCCACGTTATCAATGATCAGGGCGGTATGAATTATGGAGGTATCATACTTGTAATATTATGATATCATAAGACAGCAAACGAAGATAGGTGAGTAGAGGATTTAGCAAAAGGTGAGCTCTCTCGATTGGAGAAATGTTTCCAGACAGTTTTGTTCCCTCCAGACACCGAATCTTGGAAGGCCCGGGGCAAAAACATTAACAATGCCAACAAAAAGTAACTCAGTTCGATAGAGGTTGAACTTCCTTGCTGACCTCTGTTACATCGCCCCCTAACTGAATCTTGAACCTGTAGGTTCAGCCATCCCTTCACCCAATCGACCTTCTCATCCAGTCGATAACGCGGATCTCCTTGGAAATCGTAAGAGTGAAGGTATTGTATCTTTCATCGACTTATGAGATTTTATACTGCAAGCTAAACCCATCAACATAAGTCTAAAATACTACCATTTTCCGAGAGGATGATTCCCTTGAAGACCTATACTAATAAGCTCTTATTTTATCTCCTCCACTATTATGGCGCGCGCGTCCTGACCAGAGCAGTTGTGACGATATCTACCCCGACAACAGGGTGGTGGGTAGGAGGATAGACAGATAGACAAGCCATCAATGAAGCTGCTGGTATGGGCGGGTTCTCTCTGCTCGCTGTGCAACTCATGAGGCGCATCAGACAAGTACTGAAGAAGAAACAATTAGTGAGCCCAGAACATGGAGTGTAATAGAGCAGCTAATACTGCCCCGGACTTCAGTTGGAATGGAGTAAAGGGTACTAACTAAGCGCGCAACCGTACGATACATTTTTTGGGTCAAAACAGGCTAAGCGTCTTCAATACAGATGGCGGCCGGTGACAGCGGATACCTATCGGTGAAACCTGGCAGCTGGTGGGATATGGGTATGTTTATAGGTTTTGTAAGGTTTACTTAAGAAGAGTGGATAACATATAAGATGACTACAGAAAATGAACCCTCCTGCAACACTATTGGAACCAAATTGTGAAGTTACGGCCCTCTGCCTTTGCCCACATCAATCGAGCAATGATATTCAAGTTAATATCATACTGCTCCGGTAAATACTCCTAGTACTTGAGTAGTATTAGAGTTTCGCACTAGTAAGCAATGAAATCTTTTACCCAATATCGGTACTAGTACCAGTATGTTTTTTGGCCATAAAGGCTGCTGACAGTACTTCATAGGTGGTATGGATTTGGTAATAGAACAACGATTTATCAATCCCCAAGCAAAAAATCTCCCCTCCACTCTTCCACTTTGTCGGGACACAGAGCCGCAGCTTTGCACAAAAAGGATAGGTGTTTGAAATAGCCACTCTGCCGAACAGCAAAAATTGAATTGCTCGCCAGCAGATAAGTGATGATTTAGCTCGTCTCGTAAGAGCATGACCCACACTGTGGAAGTGAGCAAAAACTGCTCGCTCTTTGACCGAAATTATTACCGGCAGTTTGATCCAAGCAGCCGAGAGAGAACCATAATCAGTTCTCAATCTCTAGATTGAGGTTGATATTTCTTTGTTCGCCGGCTACCCAATGAATGGGAGGGGTGTCAGCCTGTTCAAAGCAGGCAAGTCTAGCGTGTTAGAGGATGTGGCTTACTGGTCTGTGCGCCTGCCTCTTCTTGGATTGTGCAAGGGAATTGAGCAGGAAGTCCCGTAGGTTGGGTAGGTTCGTGGGCTTTAAGCATACCGTGATGGGGTCAGACGGATGCTCAGGTATGGGGTTGAATTCAACGTGTAGATGGCTCAGGGTAGAATATGTTTTCTTTGTTAGATACGCTGACACAATAATATGGGGATTGCTTTATAATACCTCTATGCGTTAGTGTTGAGGTCTCCTGCCTGGCACAGAACTCTAACAAGACAAAGAATAATATAGAAATGACCTGTAACCAAATTATATAACCAGGGTCTCCTCACAGAAGGATATCATATATAGACTCATGTCTTCCCACAACCATGCTCACCTACTCCCGCACATTCCCAAAATCGTCGCCGCCATTCTTGACCCACCCCCCAAGCACTTCTCTCGTCATCTCCTTAGCCTCGTTCCTCGCAACCATTTTCACCCCCAACTTAACCGACCCGTACCGCTCTCCACCGACCCCGTCAATACCTTCAGCTTCCGCAACTTTCTGCGCCAACCTCCAGATCATCATCTTACAAATCATGCTAGCCCCCTTAATCCCGGAAGCAAACTGCTTTCTACCCTGCAGCACGCCACCAATCAATGTTTCAACACTTCTACCCTTAACCCATACAGCGGAAATATTACTCCCAATAGCACCCGTCCCAATAACCCTCTTCGAAAACCCAAACGAAAGATTTGTGGTCCTGACAGCGAACGGGGAAAATTTGTATCCGCCCTCGAATTTCCTGTCCACCAACGGCGCCATACGTCCTGTGGTACTGAAAGCCCGTGCGCAGGCGTTGGGGCAATAGGACGTTGTTGGGAGAATTACGGTCATTATGTATGCGTTTTCAGGTGATATTAGGAGAGTTGTTGGTGATAGGAGGGCGGATATCACCTGCCGGACGGAGAGCTTGTCGCTGCAGGATTTTGAGAGGGTTGGTAGAGAGTCGGTACGGCCGGGCTTTGTCCGGACGAAACCGAGCTCTGAGAAGTATTGCCGTCCTTGGAGGAGAGTTCTTGGTTGTCCCAAGGCGCGTGGAGAGGTAGAGGAGGCAGGTGCGAGTGGGAGGATGGTCCATGGTGTTGGGTCGTCCTGTACCGCCATTGTTAGTTCCATACTGGCGTCTCCGCCTTTTATGCTGTCAGCTGTGAAGGTTGATAAGTCGAGAGGAAGGGAATCATACAAGGAGCCTCAGAAGAATAGAAATGTATCAGAACACTCTCTCGCAGAGTGAATGGTTGAGGAGACTGCTGAGAAATCTCTTGTTGACTTCTTCGGCGGATGAACTTTGATACAAATAACCTATCTGCTGACAGAGATTGGCATTCTTCCAACAAGAAGCTGTGGTTATTAGTCAGTACCAGTCCCTCCTCTCTCTATACCCCCCCACTCTTGCCATTCAGATCAAGCTGAGAAATAGATTTTGTGAATATACCAATTAAGCCCTCTGATGGCAAGCACTGTTTGGTAGTCAGCCATGAAAAATTTCTTATCGCATGATAAACAAACTCTCAGCATGGCTATCATGCAAAACCATTCCACCAGCAAATGGGATTTTATCCTTGGGAAGACACTTCATGCCAGTTCTATACAGGTATTAGCTTCCATTTACACAAATCTTAAAAGATATAGCCAAACTCACCCTAGTGCAACAGCGGTAAGCCGACTAGTACCTTCACCGCACTCGAGCACAATGCCGGATAATGGAACCCATTCGTTGATACCGCCTCTTCCTAGTGGCTTACTTTTATTTGGAAGATCAACATATGCCGAAAGGACTGCGGAGGCAACGCTGTCCTCTAGAGAATCCATTCTGATGTTGTCAGTTGGTTATCGTTGTTGTACTACAAGAGAAGAATTGCAAATCTGACTAGTTCGGTTTAGTCAGACTGTTTTGATTGTAGGCTCCGCGTCATTGCAAATCACTCGAAGCCATTTACCAGCATAGAATATTTCCAGTTTCATACGTTCTTCGTACCCGCAACCTGCTTAGAGAAGTAGGGTATATGTGGGACTGCGCACGGGACCTGAATGTTCCTCTCGCACACAGCAGCTTAAGTACATAGTTCTCCCTACTCTCATTCCTACCCATCTCTACCTCAAACCTTCATATTATACCACCTCCTCTCTGCAGTCATATTACTCAAATATGAGATCGGTACAAACCTCCAAACCTCTAGCAATGCATAAGAGGCATAAGAGAAGTAGGCCACTACCACCAGCCGCCCTTATCCCAATGACATTCCAGCTTGCTTTCAATCAACTCGTTAAACTTCTTAGAGAGCACCAATATTACGTGCGTTGGACTAGCGAATACAAGGTACTCGTCGGTATATTCAATGAATTTTTACCTTTGATTATGCAAAAGATTTCAGATTTTCCGAGACTCAGGTATGTGTTCACTATTCCGCTTTCCAAATCTAGTTTGAACTTTCAGATAATAATAATAATAATAATAAATCAGATTGGAGTATTATCCGAATGGGGACAAAATCGTCCTCTCTATCCGCGGTTGGGAGTCCCTCTGTTATGGTATACCAGGAGTTATAAGCAAATTCCTTTTCAGACCGGGGGAAAAAGGTGGATTTGACGAGACTACTAGTACCAGATGTGCTACCCGTAATTCTACCTCTCTTTCTTTCTCCTCTAAACCTTCACTCACTAGACTAAAAAAAAAAATATTTGTAGGTATTAAAGTTAATAGGGACTACATCATACCAGACTTTAGTATTTTCGTCAACAACGCCCAACTACCCGTGGTGGTTATTGACGTGGTCAATGAAAAGAGCGAACAAGGCTACTATTCTAGACTAAATTCGTACATTGCTGGAAAAGGACGGATCCATTACTCGATCCTCCTTTCTACCAGTAACGTGGACCCGATGCAGGATTTGAAGAAAACTCGTTCTCTCGGCAAAATCTATATTTCGGCTTATGAAATTACCAATACCGACGTCCAAACCCTTATTTTTAAGACGGAGATCTGGCCCCGTACCCCGAAAGGGGAGTTGGTTTTAGACCGTATTTGGGAAGAGCATGCTCATCTCCCCCTCAAGCTTTTGCATGACAGTATCCGTGTGAGTTTGGGCAGAGGTGATACTAGTATCAAAAAGGCTGTTCGCAAAGCTACTAATTCCGTCACCAATTGTCTCAATATTCGTACTAAGGAGGACAAGGAGGTTAAGGGTGTCAAGGAGGTCAAGGAGGACAAGTCGAAATGGCAACTTAAGAAAAAGTGCACCGAGGTTAACCTCGGTAGGAGGATTACGATTTGGAGGAAGCCGACCACCAATCCTCCATATGTGGTTCTCCGTCATCAGCTCTAAGAGGAGAGTGAGGAGAATAGTGGGTTTGGGTGGCCGGGTTTATTCTAGTGCACTGTAACTTGTCTCTCCCTCTACAGCTAAAAACTGTTGAAAGAGACATGGTATATGTATTTACATGTATTCAATCTCCCCTCTTTACTTCTTCTTCCACTTCTCCATATATAAATCATACCTGTGAACATGAATATTCCCTTGGTAAAAGAAGAAGAAAAACACTAGCATTTAATTCCTCTTTATTCTATCCAACAAGTTTACATTTACCTATCTCTTTTTCTTCTTCTTTTTCCTTCCAACTAGAGAGAAAACAACCTTCCTGCTGAGGGTATCTTATATGTATATAATGTCCTAATATCATAGAGAATTCATTCTCAATTCATGATATTGGTAATTATTTTCAAGGATTTTCCACCTACTCTTTACTGATTACAAGATTGTAGCTAGCTGCTACAGGTTCATAGCATGAAGAGCCTGAAAACATACTCCATAACCACTATAATCACAACTGAAAGATTTTATTAGTACTTGTAATACAAGCTCTGCTTGGGTATTTGACTAATCATATTACTGTGATAAAGTTATAGTATAGTCTTACTCAGACTGTTGACCTCTAGCCATTGTCCTGTTGATAGTCGGGTCTCTTTAAGAGTCAATAAGAATGGCAGAGTTTTCCTACAGTCCATTTGATATTTTATAATTTTTACGTGAATGTTGTCCAATTGTTTATTTTAGAGAGTTGTAGGAACTATAAACTGAAAGAGGTGGGAGATACTAGGAGAGACCTTACTACATTCAAGGTACGGAGGCTGAGGACAAGGCACCTGGTATGTGATAGTGGAATGACATTTTCTGAAAGGGTAGACTGAGGTGGACTCTGGTAACAGAATGCTTGATAATTGAGCAGATGTAGGAGTTTGGTTATAGAAAGCCATTAGTCTTGTTACTGGTAAGATGTGGAGAATGTAAGTAAAAAAAAAAAAAGTCTGAATATAGGAGTATTATAATCCTAGAAGGTAGGAGAATATTACTAAGAACACAAAATTATCTCTGTAAATAGCCAAAGTAGTTAGTATAAGAATAAGAAAAGGGAAAGGAAATTAGACCAAAAAGTAAATGTTTTTTATTCAAAAAAATATTCAGAAGTATTAAAGTAAATTTATATAAAAATAATATATATATATATATCAAGATTAAAGTAGAATAAAAAAATAAAATAAAATAAAAACAGAAATAATATAGCAGAAGTATTTACTATTATATATAACTTCTAAAGGCAGTAATAATAGTCTCAATCCATTTTGGTATTCAGCGAATAAAGATTATCATATCTATGATATCTCTGAGATCTTTTACTATCTCTACTGTATAGTTTGAGCTATTTTTTTCAAAACCCAGGATTATGTATCAAATTTATTTATTATACTCTTTAAGTTAAATGTTATTGATACAGTTAAAGTTAAAAAGGGACCATAGTTAATTGCATTTTGGAATACTGCGGTGTTTATTAATGTGTAGGAAAACTTTTACACAATTAGCTGAAGTACTATTCTCTAATAGCTAGAGAGAATATCTAGTCAGCTCATTTGCCTACTACCAAAAGGGCTGCAGCATCAGAGTGAGAATATTGTTAACATAACTTATAATATGTTTGCAAGATACTAATCACATTGTCAGTAATAGGTACGATAGTTAGCAGGTAGCCCACTCTAACAGAGAGGAGGCGAGAGCTGAGAACTAAAGGAGGCTTCGAAGGTGTACGGAGAAAACAAAGATGTAATCATTCAACTAATTACATTGAAATACTGTCTGTTGAAGTCTGCCTCTTTCATCGTGGAATCATGTGGTCTTTAAATACACAAATCTGTTTATATCTCGCCCTTAGATGGAGACAATCTGATAGACTTCAGAGTTAACTAAGCCAAGCAAGATTCATTTCTGTAGACAGAGATTGTCTAGGAAGGCTTGAATTTCACTTATTTTATTTATGACTACTAAGAGTGAAGTAAAGTAGGTAAAGTAGAATAAAATTGTGAAGATAATATTATATCATGAAGGTCTCTTCTCTGTTGCTTGATAACATCTAAAAGCTTAGGAGGCACTTCGATATTTATATTCTGCATCTAAGTGTTCATGGACAATATATATCTATTATACAACTATGTACCTCTCTGATTATAACTTACAGGTCAGGTATTCTTCAAAGGTGTGAATACCTGGAGACCCTGAAAATCACCATACCCTCTTCGATAATTACTATATAGCTAACTAGGAACTATACTGTTTCTAATAGCAACTATTCGATTATCAGAGTCTTTAGACTTATGGCCTAGTTCTTAAGTGGAACTGAGTTGGTACCAATTGTCTCCATCTGTAACGATCCCTCTCTGTATAGTTAGTTCTTGGCGACGGGGAACGATACTTATCGGTTCTGTCTCCTTCTTTCTTTGTCCTACGATAGCTCTAGGTCTCTGCCTACGTTACCGATAGTACAAGACCTTTGTCTTCTATCGGAAACGCCTATCGTAAGCTTTCTCTAACTTGTCTTCGTGACGAGCACTTCTTGGCTTACTGATAAGGTTGCAATAAAGATAAAGATTGTAAAGGTGTTTTATATTTGTTAAAGTAATAAGTAGGAAAAGTACTTAGAACAAAGCGTGAAGAACCTATCTTCCTCGGCCGCATCGGCCTCCTTATATAGTATTCTTCCTGCCCATAATCATGTGACCTAAAGTGGTCACATGTGCGAAACCAAATCATAACAAACTAATCATGTGACCAAAGTGATCACATGCTCAAAACCTATGACCTTATAGCGAGGTCATGTACAAAACTCATAAACCAATCATAACGCAATAAACAAGTCATATGACTCGACTGAGTCATACACGCGAAACCCATGACCTCATAATGAGGTCATGTGCAAAACATAAATCATATATGCAAGGCTTACCCGCAAGGCATACTCGCAAGGCATACTTGCCAAGTGCACGTCCCATGACTCATACTTGAGCCATGTGCGAAAGCATCACAAATTCCACACATAACAAATCATATGACCCTAATGAGTCATATGTGTGAAACAATAACGCACTTGTGACTCACAACTATGCGTCACGTGAAAACCCTTTCCTCGCTAAGCCATATTTGTGACACCATCATTGATGAAATGATCAGTTTCATCTGTAGGTTGTATCTGTGAAGGTAGTTGTAATTATAACCTTCCTAGATCGTCTGACTTCAAACCTTCATAACTTAATACCCAACTAATAAATATTTTCTGGAGAACTTCCTACTAATTTGCAGGAAGCTATTCCACTGCATTGAGAGATAATCCCTCTGTTGGCAACCCTTGATTGCTCTAGGTAATAGGGTTTCAATCACTGCTCTAGTAGTAAAAATTATTCCAGCAACTACAACATGTTCCGAAACCCAGTTGTAACACTCTGTGAGGTCCATTAGCTGCTGTAGTAGTGTTCCTCAGAGTTCTAG